AAAGTATCACACTAGCCTCTGATCCAGCATGGCTTAAAGCCTTTAAAACTGATAACATCAGTCTGTAGCTACATGTAGGCTTCCACTATAGGTAGCAAATCTTCTGTAACCAGTGTCGAGTATTCACCATGGTGAAATCAACCTTCGTATTCCTGGAGCCAACTTGGGTGCTAGCTCTGACTGCCTCTAAATCTGGTGGAAGTTCTAATAGCAATGGTTGGATGCCTTCCTTCATTTCCGTGAAAGCCTGGACACTCTCACACAGACTCTCCATAACTTCCATGTACTTGACCTTGGAGGGTGTGCCCAGAGTTGTGTCCTTGGCTTCCATTACCATCAGGGGCTTCCATCACTGTGCTCACATTTTTCACTGTTCATCTCGAGTATATTGTCTTTTACTGGCAATTGACTGGGTTTTTCAGCGTTGACTCTGGTTCCTCTCAGTGTTAGCTCTGACATAATTTGCTGTTGACAACAATTTTAACCATCCATGAATTGGAAGGTCATAGAGAGCTACAAGTAGGAAGAATTTATGCCAGAGTGAAGACAACATTTCAGCTTTTTTGACAAGTTTTTTATTTGATATGCCTAAGGATTGTAAGATACATTGTTCCAAATCTGTTGCAAGTCATTCCTTCCAAGATGTGCAGCTAGATCCAAAGACGCCATGCTCTACACCGGCTCCTCATCCTCTGTGCTCCATACTACTGAGATCAATGTCCAACGCCTCACTCGAGCATTCCTTCACCGCTACCGGTCTGGCCTCAGTGCTCGCATCCAACACAGTACTGTCTCTGGAGACATTAATGGCTTGTACAGTGGTATTAAAAAGGCAAATGGTCCTACCTAAGGAAAAGCGCTCTGTTATTCTCAGCTACTGGCGTGCTCCTGACTGACCCAGCAGCACAACTTGACCGTAATCACTTCAGCTCTCTGATGGCCTGTGATGTTGACTTTGAAGTGTACCCTGAGGCATTACACTATCTTTCACAACTTCCAATCCTGCATGATCTTGATAGCAAAATCTATCTGACTGCAGTGAACCCTTCCAGCAGTGAAACGTTCCATCAGTGGACTCAAAAACAAAAAGGCCATGGTGTAGATGGTATCCCCCCCGAAGTTCTGAAGTGTGGTGACCCTGCTTTAGCATACCCAAAAGAGGCAAATACAATCAATCGTTACAAAAACAAAGGTAGCAGACAAGATTGCCACAACCACAGAGGCATATCACTATTGGTACAGTCAGCAAGGTCCTCGCCCCCATACTTCTTCCCAGATTGCAGATCACTGCCAACAGAAATTATCCTCAGAGTCAGTGTTGGTTCTGTAAATGNAGTGTGGTACACTAGCCACTGATCCAGCATGGCTAAAAGCCCTGCTGCAGTCCGTGCTGGTGCTTCCACCGCAGACATTCTAAAAAACAGCTGACTAGAGTTCAGTAAGAACTTTTGCCAGATTCTACTGCAGAATGTCTTCTGCTAGCGAGTTGGGAAAGGCAGTGTTAGCATTGACACTGTAGCGCCATAACATCTATGGAGGTTAGTCTATTTGAAATTGTGTAACATAATTCCCCAATTACATTTAAAAAGGAATTTACCTTCAATATAGTTGTAATGGGAATTCTTTTACTAATGAAGGACAAACTCAGATTCCCTCCCCTTGACTTTGATCCAAGTGTCTAACAGAATGTGGGTGTTGGTGCGAAAGGGCATTCTTTGGCATCGTCGTGGGAAATTTGCATATTTAGGAGCTTCAAAGGGTGGTCCGACTACGCCACAAGAGACAAAACTGAAGAGTCAAATCTATCCTTCATTGTTAATATAATCACAATAACATTGCCAAGTGAGTGCCTTTTTGTAAGGGACTGTGTTAATGCTATTGCCACAATCCTCATATCCAAGAAAGAGAAGCCCCTTTGTTGACTGGTTATGAATAATTATCCATCCAAAAATAGACAGTAACAGACAATTACAATTTGTAGATTCAGTTAACAAAGCACTTCTGTGTGTCTGTTTCCAAATTGGCAAATGTTGAAATGTGCAAGTGCAGCTGGTGGATCACACTGGCTTATTAGGACAATGTAATGAGGATTTGTAGCAGCAAAGAAGGATGTTATTTCAATTCACTTTTTTAACTTATTTTGCACCAACATTTGTGTGAGAGGTATTTCCAACTTCTCTTTTTAACAGCATAAACTAAAGTGGATTGCTTATAATGCACTTCTACACCTTCTTCTCCATTGCTTATATCCAATTCAAAACTGAAAACTGTTGAAACATTTTTCTGATTTTACTCTGTATTTGTTTGCTAATGTGTGACCGACAAATTTAAAACTTATGTACCTCAGCCTAATGTAATGTACAAATTGGTAGCATATGGAAGGGCAGATTTTATTGGTAGCATATGGAAGGGCAAAATCTGAAAGATGAAAAGCACAAAAGCGGCGTAGTCACCTGATTGGGCAGCACCTCAGCTAGCGTTGTGTAGCCACTCACTGTCAGCGTGTAGGTGCACTGCAGGCCAGGCAGAGTGAAGACTTTTAGATAACAGTCTGGTTCTGGCCTGGTCAGGAGGACCAGCTGCAGCTGGGCCTGCTCTGCGTTCGTGTTACTGTCAAGAAAAAAAAAACATTTGCTTTCCCAGTTTGGTCTTCCTCAGATTCCTGCACTGATTAACAATCATAGTATCCGCTATCCTGCAAGCCTGGAAGCATCTAACCTCTCAGTAATCAGGCACTTGTAGTTTAGTTACCAAACTTTTGGGCCTCAACATCAATGTGGAGTTTCGCTTGACTATGAACGTGTTTCAACATCCTCCGTGTTACAAGAAATCACTGCATGTTTTAACATGTCATAAGGCGTGAAGTGGTTGATGCCTGGCTGTAGTCGTTTTACTCACGATGTATTTGACTACTTCGCGTACAACGGACTGAAAAATCCATGACATCAATCAGTTACCTGCCCTTTTCACCGGTGTTGACAGAGTTGAAATTCATCAACAGAAAGTCTTGCACTGCCAAGTCCGGCCAGAAGGAGATCATCAGGAGCGAACGCAAGTCCCAAGCACTGAGCGTATGCTGGAGATGAAGAGACAAATGTGAACTGTGTGATACGAACCCCTCACAGGATAGTCAATTCCATCACGTGTCATCGCCAAGCCCCCGCAAGTCCATCACAATTCATCCATTCTTTACCCGAGCCACACTGGGATGGAGGTTATTGTTCACACCGTTACTTGTGACTAGCATTGTGGAAATGTTTGACTTGACTTAGATGGACTCGACTACAGGAAAGCACTTTACACACAGTTTGCCTTGTTTTTCTCAAGGGCTCTTGGACACCGTTGAAAAGGTATGCCTTTGTTTGTGTGGACCACTGAACAAAAGAGATCTACACGGTGAAAGTAAAGAAGACGTGTTGCCTTACCCAGGTTCACACAAAGTTCCCCACTGTGTAAAAAATGTGAACAGTTTAAAGGGATTTCTGTGTAAGAGCCTTCTGTTGCAATCAGCAAGGTCACATGCCAACTTGAAGTGCACGAGAATGTCAATCACTGTGTGGACCAATGAAGAAAAAAATGTCCACACAGTGCAGTAGCAAAGACCTTGTGTGAACCTGCCCTAATCCATGCCAGGTTTTCCCCTTTCTGAAAAACAGGTTTAGGGGCATTGTAGAGTTATGGTTATCCATCACATGATGAAAAGAAACAGTTGAGGAAATCACCATCAAAAATCTAGCCCCAAAGAGTGTTCACAGTTCAAGAAAAATTAGTACTTTCAACGGGTTTTTCTCAACTGCACGAAAACAAAGGCACATCCACACTAGGTATGTAACGCTGATGTGTATGCATTGAAGGTGTTCAAACTGGTGTGACACCCAGGTGCTTTTGCCTTTGGAAATGCAACCCTGGCTCACTCTTTTGCAGACTTTAACACCAGATGATACTCACACTGTCATCAAGCAGAAACAGATATTTGCCATTTCCGCTGACACGACACTTTTCCACGCCTCCACCTGTTTGGGGTAAAGTGTAAAATGGTGAGAGATAAATCTGCAGCTCACATCTCAGAGAGAAGAGATAAGGTGATCATGTGTGACTGTTTGTAACTTTGGGTACAAATGCTCTTGCAGCTTTGGCATTTGTGACAAACTTGGGCTAAATTCGTACAAAGAATAAACATTGTTTCCAGGGTACAAACTGCCCACAAAAGATGGGCTGAATGTGGTTCAGTGTGTCCACGCTATTCTGCAGTTTTATAATGCTCTTACCATCAAAGAAGTCACTGCCAATCTGCTGGATGAGGTCTACAGCCTTGTTTCGTCGGGACCACAGGCCAACAACTGCCTCTCCATAGCCCTAGAATAGCATAAAGAATCATCACAAGATTTGTAATGCGTGAGAAAACAAGACGTACATTTTATAAAGTTCCAATTTAGCTTTACACGTCAACCAGGAGAAAAAAGTCTGCATCTTATGAACGAAAAACTTGAACTTTTAAAGCCATAATGCACTACCATTCCAATCAAGGTATAGCTACTTACAAAACATACTTACAAACCATACATACCAGTATCAATATACACAATGTTTAAGAGCAAACAAATATGTTAGAATTTGAGGGCTTCTCAAAATTCTACTTTTGATTTTGTTTTTGCCACATTAATTCAGGGTTTTTTCCCAAAAGTCTTCCATTTTTGAAAGCTAATAATGATCACAGTTTGAACTTACACAAGTGATGATGATTGTTTTCCCCATGGAGGTCGCTGTGGTGAAGAAGCTGACAGAACCAGAATGGGCCAAGCCTGTGTCTAGACTTTCCATGCAGATACTTGCCTGTAACTGGATAATTCAATTAAAAAAATATGTTCAAAAATGTACATTAACATCACCTGGATCTGTACAATCTAAAAGGAGAGCCCACCCTTTTCCATTTTGATGTAACCAATGCTAATGCAAAAGAAACAGCACTTTAACTATCCTCTCCTACTTCTATTGTCCTGTTGTTAGTCTTTAGAAAGATAGGAAATTGATGAGCTGCAATTCTGAGAGGGGGCAAGCACTGATTTTTAATTAATTGCTAAATCAATTTCAACATACCTCTTTGGCCAGCTGCAGATCTCTTGCCTCGATGGCTAAAAGGCAAAATAACAATCATCACTGAGAGGACACAGTTTCCACATACAAATATCTAGATCGGCTTATGTGTTTAGGGGTATTTGGGGAACTGGGTATCCACTGTCGTTACAGAACTTTTTCCGATTTTCACCTGACTGTTGAGATGATCATGGCGAAAAGAATTTTCACCCAATGTTGCAAGGATATAATTTTAAAATAAAACATCAAAGGGTTTGTCATTTTGTATTGTAAATTCAAGACACTCATTAAAAAACCCAGCAAACGTTGTCATGCAAGTAACAAAAACAGCTTGCCCATAAAACTAACCAATTATATTGGATATCATAGTAATTTAACTGTACAATATTGCTTGCCACCTATGATTAATAGAATTGGTGCTAGTGTGCTTTCATGAACTTAAATACAAAGCAAAACAAACACCTCGGCAACATTCTTTCTTTTTTATGTAACTTTTTTTAACGGATACCCAACCAAAAAAAAAAACCATAACTGGGCAGAGACACCGGCAGACAAGTAGCTAAGTACACGAGCACAGGCCTACAAATATTAACATGTTCAAATTTGAAATTAAACACTGACAGACATGCTGCATCATTTCTCAGTGCTAGTACTGTATAAATGGAAATCAATTTTCCTCAATACAATGTGGTGCCTGACGGTACAGACTAATCCGACCAGATATCAATACTTGCAACGGCAGCACACTTTAGAACATGTTGCTTGTATTCTTATTAAATTGAGACATGTGCGCATACTGTCAAGTCACAACACCCTACTGAGATTGGTTGAAGAGGCTTGTAATGCATGCAAAGCACTCATGCACGAGTGTGGTTCTATTTAAATGGATTATAATTCTGCTTACCAGATTAGTGAATATTGAACCACTTTGACTGGTAAACTTTAATACAACGATATTGTATGATCTACTTTTCCCCCTTGTTTTTTGCACTGTGAGATTATGGGGATAATAAAATGCGGCTGCTTTTGGGTAGTATTACGTTTCAGTGTACCTTCATTGAGTTTTTCCAAGTTGATGTTGGAGAATCTGAAAAGTTGTCCGTCCGCCCGGAGAATGAGAAGATCATGGACAGCTGCATAAAAGAAACCGAAAACAATAAGTTGCATTCGGAGGTGGAAAAGTAAAGCAGCAGCTTCTTCTGGGTATCTCTGGAGTGCTTTTGTCTCACTTGATCGAGCTGGGAATCCGAAACAATGGAATGTATCACAAATCATATAAGGGAGAAAGAGTTTGGCATCACCAGGAAAGCAGTCCATATTTACTTTAAGACACCCAACCCATTAGATTTACCATGTTTTGCAAAGTTTTGTTCAATAATTTTACTTCATTTTTTGGTTCAAACACCCCTCTCAACACTTTATGGTACATTCCTCTCTCCATCAGCTGTAAACAATCTCTTTACAGAGACTGATGTGCGTGGCATGTACCGAGAGCAGATAGCCTGCTGGTGCTTTATCTACCATTTAAGACAGGCAACATGGTAGTCTCTCAACCTGTTGGAATAGGCAAACTGTTTTAGGAATTTATGAATACTAACTAAACCTAACCAAATCCAAAAAAACTTTGAAACAGATTTCACGCCAGTCACACTCAATGTATTCATGAACCTCCCCCCCAACTAATCACTTGTCTGTACCTGCATCTTTGCCTGGTGAGAACATCATCTGTAAGAAACACTTCTTGTCAACTGTTTCACTTCCAGATTTCAACACCTAAAGACAAGAAATTGAAATCCTTCATGATTATGCATGTAGTTGAAAATTCAAAATTTGAATTCATATTTGGCATTAGTTTAAGTTTACTTAAACAGAAACTAAACTTTTTGTAAGAACTTTTCCAAAGACTGACTTGTACTACTACCAAAAACGCACAGAAACTTAGTGTTGGTGGTACTTCAAAAATGTTTTCAATTAAGCTTCAGTTTTTTGCTACGACAAAGTAGACGTGAGGCTGGAAAAAAATGCTTTTTAAACAGAGTAATTTATAGCAACCTTTCTTATTCCCCAAACTTATACATCAAGAAAAATTTGCCACAGGATGAGAGTACTCATGACTACTGATGGGTTTTTTAGATGTACATGTAAGATGGAATATCCTGACAGGACGTGCCCTCAGACATTTAAAGGATACATGTACATGTAATTGTAAGCTGTGTTTTTCATTCTACAGTCTAACAAAAGCACAGTACTACAAAACACACCTGCGAAAACAGGACTTGCTTGAGCTCAACATCCACAAAGTGAATGGAACCACTGCATTCAGCAACCACTAGGAAGAGCGAGTCTTTGCTCCACGTGACAACATCAACATCAGATTCTGCACAAGATATGCCATAGAAGTCAAAGCAACAAATGTATTTATTAATACGCGGCATTCCAACATCCCCACGGAGAGTCTCCTGACTCGGCATTCAGAATTTAAGATTGAAATGCCCATCAATTTTCACCCAGTACATCTCTACTTTCGTGGTGTTTGTTACTTATTTCATTTCTCAGCACTTCTGTTAGCTACATCAGATAAATGCATGTACAGTGTACATGAATGCACAGTAATACGCAATGCAGGATGGAATTGAATAGGCGGCCCTTTTTGCTTACTGCCTAAAATGCAGAACGCCAAGGTTGTGTGGAAGCAATCAGGCTACAGCAACAAGCAAATGTAGAGTGAGGATATCTACCGTGCACCATGTACACAAGTACAGTGTGTATAGTTACATGAAAGAATCTGTCTTTCATGAACAGAAAAATTTTAAGTCACATCAGCTTTCCCACTTTAACATTACCACATCCAAATGCACCTGAGAGAGCCAGGTAATTGATCAGCAGAGATACTCAAAGGGCCAAGAAAGGTGCTGTTAGGTTTAAAAATAAGATTTTACATGACATTTACATATGTTCACCTTGCACATGAGCCATATACCTATGATTTGCTCATTTAATTGTTTAATTTCAGGTGGTAAGAGTTCCATATTCCTACACATCAAATGATACCCTGTTCACAAATCTTTAGAGACTAGTGTGAAAAATTCAACGTGTTTCCGAAGTGTTTTAAAATTTCCCTGTTAAATTTAACTTTTTAGGACATGTTACCACTTCCCAACTTGGCTGATATGCAGGGGAAAATGAGTGATGTCCAAAAATGGAGATTTTCCCATTTCAGGCATCAGTTGCAGGGCGTTAGTTATTTATACAGTAGTTATTTATACGGTTTATACAGTAGAGTCTGCCTAGGAGAGAGAAGATGAATTAATTAGCAAAAGTGTAAGATAGAAATGCTCACCAAAGCTTAGTGTGCTGATGAATTTCTGGCAGGCTTCATCAAAAAGTGAAACCTGACTCCCGGCCACCACACAGAATCCTTCCGGGGCGCATGCCGCATAGACATGAGGGTTACACTCTACCTGGAGTACAAATGTAAAATCATGGAAATATGTTAGGGTACTTTAATCACAATTAAATCCCTATTTTAACAGAAAATTTGTATTTGTATAGGCAGCTGTGTAATAAAAATTTCCCAGGAGTTTTTTCTGTGTAACAAAAATGTGCACTGAAAAACTCAAAATTGTAAAGCGGCACAGCACCAAATGTTTGCATTGTAGGTGAGCTGCAATTTGTGAATATAGGAATGAAAACTTGGCAAATCAAAAATAAAGGGTTAAAATGCTTTCCATTTTTTCCCCTTTTTGTTTTTATTTTTCTTTTGGATTACTGCCGGCCAAACTTTTGTTTTTCACTGCTTTCTTCCAATGTAAATATTTCCTACAAGTAAACCTGCCAGTCCCAATTCTTCCAATTTTATCACACTTCTGATTTCACTTACACTAGGTTAGGATTTACAATCAATATTTATAACAACTTTGTGAATTAAACCTTCTTCTAGATGCCTAACTAGCCACCTGATTTACGACAAGTTAAATAAAAGACATGTACATATGCACATGTTTCTATCACTAAGTGAACATCTGAATATCTGAAAAGTCCAGTGCTCCTTTTCAAAACACTAGTATGAGTTCTTTCTGCACAGGAATTGGCCATGCAATAACTAGGATTGGGCCATTACCCCTGTTCCCATGGGAACACATAATTCCAAGTGGGAATTACAAACAGCCGGTGTTCTAGAATAAGCAGTCTAGTGTTCTCAATGGAACTTTTTATTAGTGATGTACATGTACACTTATGTGGTGCACTTTGAATTTTTGCCTCTAGAGTCTACTATCCAAATGTTTTTACTTCAAATTCCACAAGAGGTGATATTTAACCAAACTCCTGATATTCTGATTCATAAATTTTGATTTTAAGAACCCGCTCCAATGCTCCAAATTTGATCTCGGCCTCATTTTCCAATCTTTTTCCAAAGTACACAATGAACTCTTATAAATGGCATCCAAACATAGAAAACAATTTTCAAACAAAATTGTAGTTGGGTATTTAAGCATAACCAAGTGGACTGACGTTTTTTTAACATGTTCAACAAAGAGTTTTGGCAACGCTGTACGAGGAAATTTAAGTGAACATGAAGCATGCCATGTCAGCAGGTCAGGGGATATTCTAGTACACTGTATACGTACACATATCCTTCTATATTACATGTACTGAAATGCTCCTAAAGTTTTCAACGATCTGATGTTTTTAACAGAAAAAGTTCCACATATGGATGCCAGTAATTATTCCCTACAGCGACCCATCGGCCATCATAAAGCAAAAATATGTCCAGAAAAGTTCAATTTAGGAGGGAGAATACCAAGGTATATTAGAAATTTTCAGACCAGTCTCAAAATAAAAACAGTGGACAGATGCACGGATGTCAAGTGGCATCTGCATATGGAACTCTTTCCTTTTTAACAAAATGACGAGCTGCCTGAAGGTAGAGTGCAATCTTTCAAACCATAGGGCCTATGTTCAAACTTGCAGGTTCTATGAACATGGTCGACTCAGATACCTACTGCATGCGTGCATTACACATGTAGCTTACGCCTACATGATGAAGCACAAATAATAGCACCACGTGCCATGTCATTTTACAAACCTTACCTCTCCCCTCGGTGAGATGGTAGCCAGAGTGTCCACCTGAAAGAGGGAGGACCCTGACTCCTGGCGGGGGCCAAAATTAGCTGTCTCATCTCCCCCAATGCCCGCTTCAACGTCATCCCACGACATGCCTTCAGCCTTTAGGGAAAGAAACAAAGCCTTAGTGAAGTGAAGACAAAACAAACCACTGGTCATACCAGTGGTTGTGATGATACAGTACAGTAACTGAGTTACTCTGTAAGTAGGGCCTAAGTCCCTTCTCAGTCAGCCTTAGTTGAGCAAGGACCTGCTGAGGCTGCACTATGGCCGAACTGCTGAAATCAAATGCGGGGCACCTGGGCACGGCATGATTAATGTTACTCATTAGACATTTGTTAGACAGGCATTGACGTTATTGGTAATTAATGCACAGGCCTTTCTACTCGAAAACTGTTTTAAAGCTTAGTTCAAGCACGTCAAATAGCCTAGTCAGCAACCAGGCTTTCATTTATTACATATTCAGTTAAAATGCTTACAAAAAATGTAGCATCCTGACTCCACTTCAGCAGTTGTGTACAAACACAAAGTCTAGTATGGGGAGTGAAAAGAATTTTCTAAGTATTTCCCAACAACATTAGTAAATGTTTCTCAGTCCAGAATTCGTGTCTTTCCAGCATTTCTGTAATGACTGACTTTTATTGAGATGATATACGATGAGAAAAGTGGAGTCAGGATGCAACATTTTAGCCAAATGCTCTTCTTCCGACAGAAACCTATGGAAGTTACGGACCTTTTCACAAATAGATGTACGTGAACAGCCAACACTGTACTGCTACATGTACGTAGTTCTTGGGCGTGAGCACGCACTGTACTAGTTTACTGTGTGAGTTGTACTACCAGGCCTACGTATTTTTGCTACGTAATGTGGTTCTGAAATTCCCGCGAAATGTAACACTGGACAGCAGAGGGCGGTATACATAAAATGCTCACGGGCCCCGACTGGAGGACTGAGCGAGCGATGTACATGCGGATGGCTGGGGCTGAACTGTCGCGTAGTACCAGTGCCCACAAATCGAAGTTTTCTAAATAGTTCAAATGCGAAAGATGGTTTATTTTGAAAAATCTTATTTTAGGTATTGGGTTTAAGAATTTTTGACGGAAGGTTGCTTGAAAGTTGAAAATTGCTGTTATGTCCGCAGACCTAGCGGGCCCGTGGCCTAGCCGGGGGGGGGCTAGCTTCCTGGCCCGGCCGGAAGTAGCCCCCACCAGTAAAAAGCATAAACATAAAAAGCATAGTTTTTTCTTGTGATGTGGCCCCTAGCTGATACTGTGACCTCCCTTAATGCCTGAAGCTGGCGACGGGGCTGATGAGGTAATCAGCCCCGCCTTCTATCAGTATGCCGCGGGCTCCCACTCGTGAACAGAAACTTAATGCCCTGGGTTCATCTGCGTCAGACATAAAGCTTATCCCCAGAGGGACTGCAGAAATCCTCCTAAAAACCCGCCCTTTTACAGTTGGACGAAAAACAGTCCCTTAGAACGTCCGTGCATGGAATACCCGTCTGCTGGTTACTTCATGATCAACGTATTGAGATATTTTTCACCGACCACAGACACTTGACAAAGGAACAACTGTATCCTCCAGAAATTAAAATTTGCAAGTGCGAGTTTTAGTCAGACTTTCCCTCGACGGAAAGGGGTTGGGATGGAGTCTGGAATCATTCCCTTACTTTCCAAGGGAAATTTCTCTCCTTTGCCACATTTTCTGACTATTGTAAGATCCCTTTTAAATTACAGTTCAAAACATAGAAATGTAAAGACAGCATGAGACAACAGCTTAACTCTTCCAAACTGAACTTGACATCGCCATCACGAAGGTTTATCAAATAACTGACTTTTTAACAAGAGCCCCAAAGGCATACATTACAGGCATCATTTGGTCGGGTAAATGATCTGGAAAGCACTTTAATAACCCTCTAAAATACCTTTCAAGAGAGAGTAGGGATTGACTCAAAAGATTTACAGTATGTTAATCACAATATGTAAATATGGTTTAATCTTCAACAATCTGCCGGTCGTTAAGACCGAATATTTGGATATTCGATCAAAATGAAGGTCAAATATTCGATTAGTGAATTATTCGAATAGACTCAGCCTTACAATATGAGATACATCCAACGACCAACAACCACTCTGTTTCGGCTCACTGACATGTCCTGAATACAATGCTAATTATTCATCTGGCAATAGAAATAAGAAAAAAAATTACATGAAGTGTTTGCTTTGACACAATAACTCTTGGCATTTCAAACAGTGCACAGGCATTTCACATTCTGTACAATGGGAGAGGTGAAAACATTTCCACAAGAAGGAATTTGCAATTGTCATGAATAAATAAGAGTTGAAACACTTCAACTTGGACGTATGCATCAGTCAATTCTAGTCATAAAATAAGGAAATAAAGGGATCTAATTCATACAATGTGCGATGGAGCTCAGCAGCGGTCACAAAACCAATGTTACAGCAGATACATACATCTGCAGCGTATGTACTGAGTGAAACACTTCAGCAATTCAAAGTGATTGAAAAACAATGAAATTATGTACAGCCGGTAATGCAACATAAGTAATGATGAAATTAATGACACTCAAAAGCTGAATGTACTCCAATGATAACATTGGGGTCAATCCTGTTTTTCTTTGTGAAAAAAAGCCCTCAAGGAAGCCCTCACTGAAACCCTCACTGAAGCCCTCACTGAAGCCCTCACTGAAGCCCTCACTGAAACCCTAACTCAAGTTGCTGAAAATACAACATCTTCTTTCCACACAATTTTACCTTCATTCTGGTGTGCTCTAAATAACAATGTGGCTATTTACTGAATACTGATAACTGAATGACATCAAATAAAATGTGTATAATGTCTTTTGCAAGCCAGCATTACAATTTTACATGAATATAATAATATTAACATTTACAATAAAAAACTCCTGCAGATCCTTTTTTAGTCATGCAGTGAACAAATATTTGAGTGAAAAGAATACCATATAAATTTCAATCTTTTACACTTCAAATGGAATGACGCCATGCCTTACATAATTGAACATTTTTGTAGGATTCGGGGCAGAATACAGAAATGTAGTGGAAAAGACAATGGTTGTGATGCAGGTCATCAGTACAAAGACACACAGTTGCAGTGAAGATTTGATAACAGTGTTTGAAGGTTTTCTGTCAAATTAACAGATGTCAAAGCTACATGTAAATACATGTTACTGATCTAAGTCTGAAAATCTGAAAGTCTGCAAAACACATGTACTAAGAGATTACTGTCAGCTAATAAGGGTTCTCAGCATATTCCTACACAGAGACATATGTTGCAACCATGCAGCTGCAGCATGGATCCTGGGTTACAAGTTGTGAAACAATAACTAATAAAAGGAGTATGTGGAAACCATATTGAATTATGGAGGAGAAAAGCAAAGTTGCAGCTCAAATAATTATGCGATTGAATAAATACATGTATATGTATATACAAAGAGTGGTTTTAGTTTGCATAAGGTAGAGCAATGTGTATCATTCAACTTGGCATCTCAATGACAAGGGACAAAAAGTGTTGAGGCTACACACTGGTTTACATTGTGAGGGATTCTCTTAAAGGCCGTGAACTCCAAGGACGCCTTGTTGTCTTGTGAATTATGTTGTTAGGTTGGTTGGCATGTATGTGCAATTTATAGAAATGGTCAAAAACGATAAAGCAATATTCAGCTACCAGGAAACTTTTGATAAATCTTTTTACCTACAAGAAAATATGCACATATATTTCAGAGTGCCTCTTCACACACAAATAACCATCCATAAGTAGCTGCTACCGGTGTATACCCACATTAGCTGTCCCCGGATGACTTCATCTCCTTCAGCTGCCTCAAGAGGGCGTCCTGTATGGTGGGTGCCACCCCCAGCTGAGTCAGGACAGCTCGCGGGTCTGGCTGCCCCTCTAGCATGGCTGACAGTCCCTGGGACAAAAAAGAGAGAAGAGAAATGGCACAGTGACTGTTGTTACATAATAGCAAAATCTTCCCTTTGACACATGCGACTCCTGCTTGGGTCAACTCCATGAAATGTTGTCCCTTAATCGGCAGTTGTGTAGACCCAAGCAACAGCTAGCACTCTGGACTGTTGATTCACAGGACTGTGCAATTTATGGGAAAATCCTGGAACCACAATCCCAGTTTGATTTGAATTTCACTTGAAAACAGATTGAAAGTCTTACAGACGATGTGCCTTATGACGTTTGCCTCGGGGTACCCACAGGCAGACACTTAACTTGTATGCCTCAATATGACGTCAGGTTACACGGAAAATGTTGAAGTTCTTTCTTTTACCATATCATCTGTCAACATTTCCAGTTAGAAGCATAACAGTTGATTTTAGTTGTTAACATCTGGCCTATCATTGGTCTACAGGCTATATCAGCTTAAACATTCGTTAAGAAGACTTTCCACGCTCACGTTTCCCACAGTTAAACACCTGCCTACCTTTGAAGCTTGAAACTACCAAATGCGATTGGAACTTTTCCCGAAACCTAGGAAATAGTACTAGAACCAAAACCAACACATTATGTGTATGCGTGACACTGCAATGCCTCCATGAAAATGAGCAGTACTCATAAGGTAGAGTCTTCCTACCGTTGCTCACTGACCACCATGGGATCAGCAGTGTACTCATACAACTGAACAACGCATGTTCACTGGCATTTTACCTGTAATTCCAAATGGGACAGGCCGGCCACGGCTTTGCTCGATGTCTCCTGGATCTCCTGCTCAATGCGGTCTTGCCTCTCTTTCTGCGACTTGACATCGGGCAAACACACCTCTCCACGTAGCTTACTCATGTCTGCAAGATATTGCACACAATATAACGTTCAAATGAAAAAAAAAAATGCAACCTTCACTTAGCTGAGATCTCGGCCGTTCATGGACAATAAAATAACAGAAAGTCTGTAGATGTGGCCCAAGCTAAGAAAATAAGCTGCAAGTCACCAGAGGGACCTTGGAATCAAAGGCCGTTAGAATAACCTTGTAAAATGAGCTTTAAAACTTTTCACGGTGAAGGTGGCAAGTTAGGTCAAGAGCACAGTAGCACCATACCAGGATATCGTTTTTAGAGTATGTGTGATTTAGAAACCAGGACCATCTCTACTCAACATTTCCGGACTATAAAGACCGCTCTCATCTTAGCTTACAACTTGTATGGGCGGCCAAAGTTTGCAGAAATATCACCTTTTGGTTGGTTTTCAATTTTTACCTCAAATTCATTCAAAATGGACATGTTTCCCATCAATTTTAAATTGGGTTGTATTTTCATTTAGTGGTCAGTGGTACATGTATCATCTGTTGTTGTGATAGCTGCACAAGGTTTTTAAAACTTTTTGAATTATTTTTTTACTTTTGTACTGACAACCAACTACATTTTTAGTAGCCACTTGTAGGACAGATAGGACTGTGTGATGTCAAATGACCAGACCGTATGCTCTGTCCATTGTCAGGAGACTGACGATGGACAGAGCATACTGTCAAAAATGTTGAGTACCCTCCAGATATTTTCAGAATTGAACCACACATACTCACAAAGAGATATCTTTGCATGGTGCTTCCACCAACCTCTGTACGTAATCTTGTACAATTTCAACTCTCATTTTTACATCCACACAAATGTCAATGTTCACCACGATGCCAATCTAAGCGATGTGTCAAAACAAAGTTTCCTCTTTCTAATGCAAACTAAAATGTCAATTACTAAAAAAAAAAAAAAAAAATGCCTTAAGACAAATTTTGTGGAATCTGGTCACACATGCTGTGGGGTGACACACCGGATAAAGCAGTGACGGTCCATGTGGCATCATTGATGCATATGGTGGTGGCACTGATGAAGTTATAACATGAAAAAGACGATAATATGAATGGTGACTGCGACAGGATCACAGTGAAGACAGTGACAGCTGGTGAAATCTAACCAATACCTTCATTCAACTGGGCCATCTTTGCTTCTTCACGCTCCTTTTTATCAAAGTACCATATGGTGATAGCATACCTGACAGAGGTAAGTACACAAACAAATGAGAAGAACTTTGAGATTCGGGGAAGTTGATGCAATTACATGCAAAATGCTGTATACGTGCACTTCTGTCTTTGTATGAATAATCTGTTTTCAAGAAACTGGGTCAATAATAAAAATTAGTGTGTCTTCAGTATAAAATTATGGCCAAAATTTTGAAAGCAAAAGTCAGTAGAGAATACAATTTCATGCACTGCTCACTGTCACTCATAAGAATGTGCATAGGTGTCACAAATCTGATGAAGGATACATACATGTATTGCGGAGGTGTTTTTCTGAATGCCTTACAGGGAGCTCCAATGTTACCATTATACTGAATTCCAAACCAAAAGCAGTGTAAACACCATGGCGTTTATTAGGCTTCGCATACCTCTTATCAAAAGCTGGCTGCACCTCATGCGGGTTGCGGCGGTCTGACCAGAAGAGAAGCAAGCGATTCAGGAGAGGCTCGACATCCACATAGCCTCCAGACACGGGGAAGAGCCTCAACAAGCCGCCTTGTTTCTGCAGAGCATCCAAGGACAAGAAGTATCAAGAAATAGACAATGGATTCCTTCAGCGTTCTGAGGTTTAAGCCATCATTCTGGGGATCGACATTTTACCCAGAATCACAAAGTGATATCACAAATCTGCACGTACATGTATTATCAAAAGTTGGTGGCATATAACCAAGGGTCGGGGGTTCAAATCCAGCTGCTGATGGTATGTTGTAGACTTTGGCAAGTCCCTTCGTACCTACTTGCCTCTATCCACCCAGAAATACAACCATTAGTCACGGAGTAAACTGTGGTGAACTTACATCCCATTTAGAGGGAAACAGAAAATATGTGTATTCTTTGCTGTTTCAGGCTCACAACGGCTGGAGGAGGTCAAATGGCTCGGAAAAGTCTTGCTTCATACATTGCAAATGCAAGCAAGCTTTGAGATAATAAATGAGAAGTTCTGGTTGTTAAAGAAAGTCTTGCTATAATAATGTGGTGCTTACATGCACGTACATGATTAGCATTTCACACACATGTTCACACAGAATACTTTGAAGACAGGCACTATCCCTGCTCAGCATGCAGTGCAATCTATGGCCGTGTCAGAAATGGGCTTCAAGAGCTATGGCTAGGTCCATTGTCTGCGCATCTCCGTGTATTTCCAATGAAGTGAAGACCTAGACCTAACCTGTATGACAAGAAGCCACAGCTCCATCTAATACTGGGTCTGAAAACTTAAAGAAGTCTTTTGAAGTAACATCTCTGGGGGATATCAAAAAAAATAAAAAATCAGTGCAAAACAATTGCTCGCGATACAAGCTAGGCTTGCTTTTGTAAATCCTGCATATTCATGGTATACCCGAAGCATTTTTTGATTACAGGTTTATAGATATAGCGGTACCTCGACATCCCAATTGTCATTGAGGTAATAGAGACAGGTGATGCATCGTCCATCGCGATTGGGATTGTCCACATGACAGGCATAGCCAGCTCCGTTGCCGGGGTAACATGCAACCATGGCCTGTTGGCAAAGACAAAAGCAGAGAGATTATAACTTATGTGTAGAAGTCTTTTTTACAGTCCACTGGAGCCAGGTTGTTCCCACAGAAATCTAAAACCCCAAATATCAGGACTTTTCCAGGACCTCCTGACACTTTCTATGACATTTAAGGCCATTTTGCAGAGAAGAGTTGTTTGGTATAAATTTATGAACTGGAAGACGGGCATAGTCTCTACTATAAACTGACAAGGATGTAGCCTTGTAAATTTATCATTATGCCATTATCAAATCAGAAGCAACCCATTAACAATAACCACCACTTTTGTCCTCTGAAAACTGGATTATCATTATTGCTATTAAATTCTGGTAATGACACCAAGGATTCCTCAAAAGCACCCTAGGCACTGTAGCTCGCAAGCTTGGACAAACCTGTAGAGAGGAGACAATGAGAAGCAGTCACAGCTTAAGACTCGATGGGAGGAAAACCCCAGAGGATTATTCTGGGTAAAACCCATGGAATCAGCTGCAGGTTGGGACTGCAACCCAATCCACATGTGGACCACACCAGGATTCGAACCCGGATTGCAGAGGTGGAAGGTGAGGAAAGAACCACTTTGCCACAGAACACAAAAAATATGGCACCTGAATGCCCGTGGAAACCTTGTCAGCCTAGCAGGGAACCCAACAGCTTTTTATGTATGTGAAAAGGGTTTTATTTTTCCATGATAGAAAATAACGAATAACGGAAAGAAAAAAAAACGCATGCAAAACCCGATGAGAAACAATAAATCAAATTTCATTGGCCTTAACACAGTGCATATGGATAGTGCAAGCCAGTGACTAATTGCGCAGACCCATAGACTGCGCTCAGGTGCTGTACATTTAGTTTGATCACCTTGGTTCTTCCACTGATTACATACTGGTCCTGAAGATAGTAATTCAGTCTCTGTATCAGTTCATCCATTCGTGAAGCCAAAGCGCTGATGCTGGGGTAGCAAGCTTCGTTACCCTGGAGCCACGTGATCTTATCGCCCCGTATGGCTTTCTCTATGAATTTCTGGGATTTTTCGCTGCTTGTGCGCCCACCACTCAATGGGCCATCAATCAGAACACCACTGTCTTGGATGGATTTTACTTCTCGGAGGATGCTGCGGCTGCTTTCGGATGCAAGGAAGCTGTCTAAAACACAGTAACCGTTCCTCTGCAGATGGACAGTGGTATGTCTGGCCATTGCATCTCTATCTCTTGATTCAGGGAGTGGGAAGTCCATCTGGATGAAAGGCCGAGAGTCAAAATGGGTCGATGATTTGGAACCATTTTGCTGGGTCCCATCCTTGTCATGTTTAACTTTAAGTCCCACCTGCTCCCTCTGGGATGACAATTTCTTCTTTTCATTTGTGTTGTTCTTTGAGAATTTCACGGGATTCGCTGTCGAGGTTTTACTGTCTGCACTCTTCACAACGTCACGACTTGAGTAACATTTGCTATTAGTATTCACAGAGCCTGAGTGATTTGGAACATTTGCCCCTTTGATGACCCAGTGTTTATCATGCTCTTGTTCAGCAGCAGCACTCACGTTGCCAAGTTGCGCGTGAGCGCCATCATCAACCATGCACGTGGACTCTTGAGATGAGATTTTCTTGCAATATCGCTTGTGCTTTTTCCAGTCTTGCAGTTGGTGCTCCCTACTGCAGTAAAACACACTTTTGCATTTTGAACATCTCTTAAGATTCTCGGTGGATTTACAGCATGCACAACTTCCAACGCTGCTTTTGACACTTTCAGCCATCGCAACTACTGCAGTAAAACACACTTTCGCATTCTGAACATCTCTTGGTGGTGTGATGTTTCCTCGGTATGATTATGATGTTTCCAGGTCACAGAGGCCAGAGAGGCTACGCTTTGCCCACACGTCGCCTACATAGACCTATCATACACGTACATGTATGTATGTGATCCACACGACGGAAGCGTATATAGGACATGACTGAAAAAAAATTGGGCCTGCTCTCTTGCCCGGGGGGATTAGTATTTCGCGCGGACGGATTAGTATTTCGCCCGGAGCTGATTAGTATCCCAGGAGACTGGGTGTATATAATCGCTCACTTTTTGCAGGGGATGAATCATCCCCTACTTTTTCGTACAAAGAAAAAAAAAGATTTGTGAGTATTTTTTTTCATTCAAAATCAATTCAATTGCAAAGTTTTTCATGAAGTGTGCCTGGAGTTTGCTTTTCGGGGTGGGAGCCACATATTGGGGTTGGGGGAGGGGAAAAATGATTTTTTTCTACAAATCGCAATCCATTTTTCTTTGGTCTGTCCCCCGCCCCCCAAAAAGGCCGGGGCAGTTTCCGCCCACTCCACATTTTTCTCTCTATAGCCTCACAGTGCATTTCTCACGCTTTGGGTCGTACCGTGTTGAGTAACTCTAACTCTTTGCAGGCATTTCTCACCTATTTTGTGAGAATCGGACCTGCTGTTCTCGCGTAGTGTTCATTTTGCCGAAGCAGCCAAGACCTACACCTTTTTCACGCGCACACGTTGCTAGGACCGCTGGCAAGCGCGCGGCCCCAAACTTCAAATGGCCATAACAACATCTTCAATTGAACTGATAATATACTGATCTATTGATTATTTGTATTGATTATGATTGTCTTTACATGCATGCAGAGTTTCATTAAAATCGTGTATGGGATGGCTGAGTTCTGCGGGGGGGGCGGAATCCGCCCCCTGGCTGTAAGCGGTCCCCCATCTAGTCACGGTGACTTCTGACTTAAGTTAAGTTAGGATTAAGAGTGAAGTAATGTTCGCATGAATTCCTTTTAAAAATAACAAGGAAAAAGAATGGCTTTAAACATCGTTACAAAATGGTTGGGGGGTTGAATCTGTTCCCATGTCCCTTCCCCGCTCGCGTGGACATTGAATACGCCACTGCATTTTATTCAAGAGGGAAAGGGAATTTCCAGGAGGGTACATAGCGCTAAACTACGAACCGATCATGAAAGTCACGGGAATGCAGTTGCTCCTGCCACTATAAACTATCTAGGAAAACGGCTAAAAAGGGGGAAAGAGACAAGAACAAAGGAGAAAACAGGAAAAATAGCTTTAATTTTTAAAGCTAGGTATAATGCTTTTTATTCCCTTTAATCTATTTGTTGTCGTATCTTTCGCATTTTGTTATTATTTTTTTATACTATTCTCGGGTGAAAGCAAGTGCCTCCCCTCGCGACGCACATTTATTCTTGCGTTACGATGCCAAGTCAGTCTCGATTTGAAATTTTCTGTCTGTCACGAGTAAGTCCCCCTTGTTAGGAGAAAAAAAAGGCTGACTCCTAAACAGTATGTACGTTGCTCTTTCCGGTGCGTCAAAGACTTGATATCCAAGTAATAGTAATAGATTTGTTCCGCCATGGCCGCCCAAAATAATGTTGATTTTACTGATGAGGAAATGGACGCATACACGTAGATGGAAAACCTAATAAACATTAAACAAAGTGGGTTGATTTAACCCGGGATAGCTCCAAACATGTTTATTTTCCTTGTGACTCCACAAACTAAACAAGTTCATTACAAAAGAACAAAAAACAAAAGAATCAATTTACATTTAATTGTCATTTAAGTTAACTATTACTACATTAAGATTACCATAAGTTTAAAAAGATCCTGAAGGTCCAGAAATTTAATTCATAGAAATTTATTGATGCCGTCAACTCCAGCCCGTTTGAATACCAGCAGTATCAATTTAAAGTGTTTTATATCCGTATAAATTAGCTTTATTTTATGAAACTGCCTCCCTTCTGCAAATAAAAGTGTTTGTGATATAATGTGATAAACTAGCTTAAGTTAAACTCTCTATTTCTCTGAAAAGAGAATAATATGCAAGGAAAAAGCTCTTTTCATATTCAAATTAAAAGGGGAATGGCAAGACGCTGAGCCCGCGCCCGATCAGAGTAGAGAATTGATGCGCATTTGTTCAGGTTTTATGGCTAAAATGTTTGATAGATTCATAAGGGTAATATTCAATCAGTTCTATTGGCATTCCTGTTAACTGAATCTGCAGGGGAAAAGGTGATTAATTAGGAGAATATCTCTGCCTAATGCAGGAGTGAGGGCGCACTTCAAGAGTCACTTTGCATCTTCGACACAATAGCGAAGAAAAATGTCGGGACGGTTTATCTGAGTCAACCTGCCCCCCCCCTCCAAAAAAAAGGAAATCTTCCCGCATTCCGACACACAAATCTACGCCAATCCCCGGGTGGATCACTATTTCTAATTCGCCCGGGCGAAAAAGCAGGCCCAATTTTTTCAGTTATGTCCTATATACGCTTCCGTAAACACGTCAAGTTGAACATACAAAATATGAACACAGTGCCGGCCTGCAGTGCGAGGGCCGGGCCGGCCGTGCCGCGGGGTGCAAGTGAGAATTTCTGACCAGCTCATTAGCATTAAAAGTGCCCCCCAGTATCTTTTGAAAAGGGAGATTGTTCGGCCCCCAAAATGGTGACATTGTGTAAATCGTTGCCGGGATCAACTCCCTGGGTCTTTGAGCTTTCATGTGAGAGCAGAAGGGCTAAAAACTACGGTTGAAAAATGGTCCTAAGTGGCCGAAAAGTTGAGGGTTGCCACTTGCAATCAGGCTTCGGAAAAATTACTTTTTGGGGGTTTATTTTGTTTTGTGGGAATAATTAAAAATGTACTTGGTTAACCCATAAAAAATTGAAAAGAAATTGAAAGATAAATGACCAGACAAGAATTTCATTTGTGTTTCAGAAATCTCAGGGATGTTGGCGTGCATGCTATTGGGCCCTGAGCAGTGCTGATTTTACACTGTTTGAATTAGTGGACTGTTCATGTATCCCGCGGGCGTCAAGCTAGAGCCGCGCCATCCGTCGTTAGCCCGATTGAGGGCGCTTTTATAAAAGAATGCTGATGCGCGTGCAGTAACCGTACAGCATGCAGTCGAGTACGAAAGTAGACTCAACAAAATCGGTGAGTGAAACGGTGAAATCTTCTGTTAAGCGGTAGCCTATAATATTACAGATACAGCAGCACAGTGTTAGATTTCAAGATGCTGCGCACACTATAAATCAAGATTCAGAAATTTACGAGCATGTACCGGAGTCGTTCTAAATCTAATCAGCGTCAACGTACCGTCAACACATTGATAGTAACGTCAACACATCGTCAACATTTACAAAATGCATCGAAAACAGACGTGTCGAACTGTAATGTATATGCTTAAATCGAGTTTACATTTTATTACATTTCAAGGGAGTTTTTTCACGTGAAAAAATTGTCTCTGAGCAGCACCGCCGTTTGCAACCATCTTGCCTTCTCACGGCGTTTGGACCGTACCATGGATTACTGTATAAAGGTGACCCCCTGTAGCGTAATGTATGGTCCGTCTGACTGAGAGGCAACATGGCTACTATCTTTCAAGGCTTTGCGGAGGATGTTATTTTCGTGAAATAAAACGGCTTTCCCCCCCAAATGTCGCCCACTGTTAGCCAAATTGTATTTTAGGCATTATATTGCTATCGAATTGTGTTTCTGTTAACTTAGAACGTGATTTGGGTGTGTTGACGTTACTATCATGTGTTGACGCGTTTTGACGTTGTGTTGACATTAATTAGTACGACCGGGTACCAGTCTAGTACTCACTGGGCACTGACTATGCACACCCTTAGCCGGCACCATTGACTACGCACTTGATGGTGTCACACGAACTCACCTGGGATGGAGGCCATGCTGAGCTTTCAGAATCATCCTCCTCACATGTGACAGGAAATCTCTGCCCATGATGTAAACCCACTTACACTTACTGGACAAATCTCTCGTTTTTTTCTCAACAATGTTACAGCTGGAGAAAAATCAAATCGTCATTCGTTATCATCTCTCTGGAAAGAGCAAACAGGATTAGTGAGGATTGGAGTTTGTACACACTGGCATTTGTATAGTGGACCTTGACTGATTAACAAAATGAGCACTTTCAAAAGTAGATCACTGCTTCAGTGCACCCTAAGGCATGGCCTTTTATCAGGTAATCGTAAACGTCCGACGACAAGTCAGAGCATCACGGTTCCTTCACTTTTCTGTCGGCATCAGCAGAGTGACAGCAAAAGCAGCAGCCAAAATAAGACTCAGAAAGAGTCCTACTCAGTGTATCTGACCCGCAACTTCAAGATGTGGGGGCAGGAAGTCTTCGACCGAATCCGTGGCTCGAATCTGGACACTATGTTTGACACCACCCGGACGCTCTGGCGGTTTGCTGGCCCAGACAGCTTTAGTGACTTCCAGGTGCTCACGGACAAGGGCATCGGGGGACAGAGCTGGGCCAAGATCGAGCCCAGTCGGAACAACAAACTGCTCTTCCACGGCAATCTGTGCACAACCGTACCTCGAGATGGTGAAACAGCAAGAAGTGGCTATTGTTCACTGAAGTCTAAACAGCAGTTTGTGAGTTATCACTGTTACGCCCCAACTGTAGCATCAGTCCCAACTATAGTTGGGCCCGTCCCAACTAGAGTGCTACATTTGGGCCGGCCCAATAACAGCAGAGAGGTCCTGTGTGCATGTGTCCAGCATGTGCCAAAGTCATATCATTTACAAATGTCATGTCACTGGTCATAGGGCTAGATGAACAGATGAAGTGCCACATTTTAGATGAATTGTGTCAAGTGTGAGACACATTGACTTGGATAATGTTTAGACATTTCCCACAGACATTGGTCAACAATAGTTGGGCCAGCTGAACTGCAGTACTACAGTTGGGACTGTCCCAACTATAGTTAGGACTTATGCTATAGTTGGGTCGTAACATCACCGTGATAGATATCAATTTGTATACTGCACAGGCTTGTATGCAAAGGTTGGGAGTTGACCTGAGATAGGTTCTTTGAAAAAGAGTTTGTTTTGATAACTACTGGAAAATTCATCATTATAGTAAAAGTCTTTACCTGTGTTACTCTTAATTTTGATCTCCTTTCAACCAGGCCTCATTTAATCGCAAGAAGCACATGGACTTGACTCCCTTCAACTCGCTCAACTTACGTCTTCGTGGTGACGGCCGTGCATACATGGTGAACATTATGACAGAGGGCTACTTTACTGATTACCATGACGATATTTGGAATTACTTTCTGTTCACACGTGGAGGACCCTATTGGCAGGATGTCTCGGTTAGTATTTCAGAAACCTTTAAACATTGACCCAAGAAAGCAAATCTGGAGCTACCTCATAGAGCAGACATTGCTTTCACCAAAACCGCCTTGTCTTTGATGAGAACCGTCAAAGACGCAGGCTGTGATTTAGTTTTAAAAGATGAGCCGTGAGAAAGCAGGCTCTTGAAGCTGCTGAGCAAATGCATGGTTGTGTGCCTTGTTCAACGCCATACTAGGACAATTTCTCTTGATGGGAAACTTTGGAAAAGATTATGTAGACTTAAGTGTGCCCCCGTGGTTTGAGTCCTCACAAGAATGATCATTCAGCAGGCTTGTAGTCCGGACAGAGACCTTGTGGGAAAATTTATGGTGAGGTCCCTAATTTTACATGTTTGGCTCCACCATGGAACAGGTACACACAAATCTATACATCTGTACCCCTTCCCCCTTTGTAGAGACCTCCTTATCCGTTAAGTTGTGGGGACCTGTTTCATGTTCTTCAAATTTGTTTGCTCTCAACCCACCAACAAGTAGTAGGTACGTGCATGTAGTAGAAGTTGGAAGGAGATGTTTAACTTTGTGACTTGTTTTGTGCCTGTTTCTGATGACTTCAGAATCCAAATCAAACAGAACTAAATAGGGAAGTCCGTTTTTTGTTGAGCAAACAATATGACAAAGGTTTTAAGTTTGAAATCATTGACTGTAAACGGGGTTTTACTTTTCTTCAGATGGGATCCATTTTTCATGGAAGATAGTAAAAGCTGATGAAAGGACCAAGATCCCAACCAACTCTAATTGTGCACACCCACGGTTGATACATGTAACTTCCCTTTGATTTTACCCACAGATCCCTTTCTCCAAGTTTTTCTTGTCCAGCCGGGGGCGCATCCAGGACAAGCAGGCAGTTGTAGACCTGGAGCTGGTCAACGCCATCGGGCTGACGATGGCCGACGCCATCGACGGGGAGTTTGCGCTGGAAATAGACTCCATCTCGGCTTCGTATGATGCCACACACACAGAGGAGTTTGCCTACGAGCTGTACCACTAGCAGTCAACACCAGCCAATTAGGTTGCCTTCAGCAACATTTTATCAGACGGTGTACCTTCCTCCCTTCACTGAAAATGCTACGATTGCTTTGTTTGTACGTGTACTGGTACGTACATGCCATCCTACAGTGTATGAATCTTGATTTGAAAACTCTCTCCCTGATGTGCTTGAGGAAATTCGGGAGGTAACTTTGGAGACATTTCTGGTTACGTGCTCCCACTCGTATCAGTCGGTGTTCACGTGTGGTCCTTTTTTTTTCATCAGTGGACTTCACGTGTCCTCACTTCGAGAATAGAGGCTGAATGGTCCCTGGGAACGGTCAGGAATAGATACGAGTCCTTTGCGCTGAATCTGTGCATATGGTTTAAATGACAGCGGAATCTAAATTTCACCGGTATAACAGCTTTTGATATGAGGAAGTTGCAAAAAGTAAATACATGTAAGTTCTGGAGGGCACCTAGTCTTACCTGATATGAAAACCTCAACATGTAAATAGTTCTTGCAGATTAAATAAATCATTATTTGTCACTTTTCAGTAAGCATGTCATGGTCTGGGTCTTGCATTAACAAAAAATAAGGACACTGTATTTGGGAGAAATTTGACATGTTTGGATGGATTAATTCTCATTTCCAAAGATTTACCCACTGCAGACGGACTACCCTTCTTACTACCCTTCTTAGACATGTTAGGTGTCTGTTTAGAAACTAACATCTCACAAGAACCTTTAATTACAATCTAACAGTATTGCAGAAAGGTCACGTAAAATGGTTTATTTTCCACGAAATGGGTGCTTCTTTTTCTCAACCAAGAGCCAATTATCATCGGCATCAACAGCACAAATACATGCACTTGTGCAATCAAACTTCTTTTTCAAGGCTGTACTAACCCACGCATGACCAAAGGATGACAATTTACAGAGCACATGGTGTATGTATCTGCATGCAGGTTTTATTGTGTTGGATTTATCTACGAGAGAGGTATCTGTGAATGGGCTCTGACATGTTTGCCTGAAATTTCAAGTATTACAAGAAAATTGTGCACACCTGTATGATGCCCAAACTGAAAAATGCCTAGAACTTAAACATGAAGGCACATTCGGATCATCTACATTTATATCATCTACATGATAACTGAAACCAAAGAATATATGTACGAGCAGTATTAAGGACATTTCCATATGTACATTTTTTGGGTGCCTTGTGAATACGATGCGTTCATACGTTTCACTTTCAAGGACACAAAAATCGACTCCATTAACATACATGTAACACACGTGCGTTGCAGTCAGCCATCCAATGGCCCTAGGAGCGATTTTGACAGATCACAACGCTTGGCACAAGCTGATGTACATATGGAAAGGTGTAGGAACAAAAACTGTACTCAGAAACTTTAAAAATCTCAAAAATTAATTACTTAATTCTTAAGTACCAACTGCCAGTGTTTTAATTGGCATATGGTGAATGTCAGTCCACATGTATATACATGTATACATATACTCATGTAGCAAAAATATTCTACAGTACCACTTCCCTGTAAGCAAAAATGGAGTCCTGAGTGGAAGATTTCACAATACCATACAAGTGCTCATTTGTAAAAATACCATTTTGTTCAGAATAACCATGTGACAAAATCAGGATACTCATCACTGCAAACGTTTACTATATTTACAGACACTTGCCAGTAACCCTACATGCAATTCTATTAGACTTCTTTATGAGAAATAAATAGAAATAAAAACAGTTATGCTGTAACAAAATAATAAACTTGATTCCCATAAAAACTTGAAATATACAGAGTACATGCAATTTGTTAAATAATGCTCAAACTGATTTGGATTTGGAATGATTATAAATATGTTTTCTGTACATCTGTTTACAGGATAAAATACATTTTTAAATACTCCCCAAACAAAACCCTGAACGAGTTATGAGCATGCTTGTCTTTACTAGACATAAAAAAATCAAGTATGAAAGTGAAAAAAAAATTCATTTAAACAAATTTAATAGAAGAACATCCTTGGGATCACAACCCGCTCTTTGAAAGTTAACCCTAGGGCATTGTAAAGACATCAGTACATCATCCAGTGAGTTTAACCCTCCCTCTGCTGTAACCGTCAAAAACAGTGAAAAATTCCTTCCACTTGATTTGCCCCAGTACACAGACACATATGGGAAATTTGACTGATTTTGACTGATACGACAACTGTGTCAAGAATGTATCTCTGCAGAGGAGGGTTAACGTTGGTCTTGCAGTCTGGTGTCTTTCTAGCGTATTCATGTACAACTTTATCTAAAATTAGGGTAAAAAAGAAATTGTGCGAGATTAACTGACAAGGATCGAGGTACATGCACATGTTTAACAATGGTTTGTAATCACTTAACATACATTCCAGTCTTGGGAGAGAGCTCCATACACGAACATCACTGATTTTTCCCTGCAGTGGTTCCTCGGGCATCACACATCAACGAAAAGTCGAGTTTAGCAGGGAATACATGTACATGAAAGCATTCACTTCGAAAACCCGTCTCATAAGGTTTGTCACAGGCGTCAAAGTGACGTACATGTATTGGACATTTTCCTAGTCTATGGGCCCTGCGGTTCAATTGTTTTGTTTGTTCAAAAAATTGGACACCTGGAATCACTTTCCAAAGGCTGGTTTATGTTGCGCCAACAAACGTTGCTTTGGTTCTAGACTAAGTACTTTGCTACTTATACTGCGGGAGTCATTTTTAAGACATTAATAACTACAGTTTTTTTCTACATCCTTTAACAATTCAAGGCACCGTTACAATTTGGAATTGGTACTGTCATTCTCAATATGAGAATGTCACAAATATGCTACTTAATGAATCACATACCACTCTGGAGAATATTGCACAGAGAACCTTCAGTATTCTATAAAAATAAACGATTAAGGCTCTGCATCAATACAATGTGTGCTCACATGAACTACATTGCATGACAGGTTTTTTCTTTTCAAAATATGTCAATTTAAACGTGTGAATAAAAATCACAGGTAGCAGACATTTTTAATACCAACACTTCTCAACTTTACCATAAGTACATCTGAGTGAAAGTTCCATCCTGCAACGCTACAATTGAAACAAATCTAGTATCGATTTTTACTAAACTGACTTTACTGGTGCAGAGGTCAAGAAGTTTTAACCTGCCGACTTGTGTTCCAGGGGCAAAAGGAAGTTGAAAGCATCTTCTGTTGGTTCACAATCCAGGACATAAGAAAGACTGGAATGTGTTGTGAATAGTTCCACAGGTATCACACGGTAAAATGACAGATGAAGCACTCACATTCTCTGAAAACAAAGTCAAGTTTCCAGGATCCGCTCCGAGCGGAACAAAAGGGGGCGTGTTTTTTGGTACTTGCCACATAGGCACGCCATGAGGCGCGCAAATACATGCACGTTTGACGCGGAGGTGCTGAGTACGCGGAACTAATTTATTCTGGCACGCATAATTTTTGCATACACGCAGAACGCGTGCAAGAACCTGCTTGTAACCACCTGCCTTTCTTTTGCCGATGGGACGTGCAAGTCAGCTTGGGGCGGATACTTTCCACTGGAATTAAAGCATGTTTGCAGAGAGTTTCAAGCGCTGGTGTATTTTCTAAAGCCGATGTAACATTTGACAGCAGGATTTCTGATCGGTCTGATGTTCCAACCCTTGCCCTGTGCTCAATGCCTGTTTTGCATGTAAACCTCCTTGTCCTTCACGTAGCCAAACTTCTCGTAGAATGGAATGTTACTCTCCCCGCACTCTAGCGTCGTCTTGTAGCACCCCAGGTCCTGGCTGAGAAGGGTCAGTGCAGACATGAGCCTGGGAATTTGAAATAGTTCAGAGAAAGTTGGATTAATTGAGGAGTAAATGGCAGTAAGGCCTATGAAAGTTAGTGTAGTGGGCACCAAAGACAATGGATAAATACCCTAATTGCAAAGCTATAGATGTATTTAAGATATATTTACCAGGCATATTCCTGTATGAAGGAGAACAGTTCTGTACCCAATACCATTGGTTGTTCCTGGATAACATGATTCGACCTATCACATCTGCCGTGCAGTTGTAGGTCATGTTAAGCACTTAGAAATTCAATTACAGTGTGGTAACTTCAGAGATCAGACATACACCCTCACACTAGACAATCATTTTGTTGCAGAGAAGTTCTGGTCTGTCATGTAGATTGTATACTATTATTACAAGTGATGGCTGTCCACATCCAACACTCACTTCATGTTGAGATCATGAGTAACTCACATCTTATCCTTTAGAGAATCTCCTCTTCACTGTGACTGCACTATAGCATTCTCTAAATGAGGCAATAAACTCCCCATGTAGGCAATGCCTTAATCAGCATATAGCTGACTGAATAAACTACAGGTCTGGCAAACTTATTAACAAAATGGAGGACTTCCAGCAAACTATGCCAGATGTCATAGGGCTAAGTCCCTAACAAGGTCCTTATTTAGTCTCTTAATGTGTAATCCGATATTTCTTTAACTGCATATTTATCACAGAGACCAGTAAGGTCTAACTTTGGTCACATATGGGATATGGCTGGCATGACGTGGAATTTCCTTTAAATGCACACATAAGGGACAGTGGTACAACTTTATAAGTCGCCACTTACAATGGTAATGCAGAATGCAGCATGGCACATCCACTTTGTACTTACAGTTTGCCCAGCTGTTTGCCTCTGTAGTCTTTGTGGACTACGACTTCTTCTATTCTCCCTCTCTGTGGAGAAACGCACGTGGGGCAATAGGCATACGTGAGATCATTCACTTTGGGTATAATATCGGTTCTTGCAATCACTGAATATAGTGACTGCTTGCATTGATATTTCAAGACTTTTTGTACACCATGGAGGATCAAATGAATGAGGCATTCCTCTCACATACATACATTGTTTCTTATTCCAATAAACTCTTTTGTGATATTGTACAAAGTCATGCTAGGTGAACTTAAACTCAATGCCAAAATATCAATAAAATATAAATCATTCAAAAAGAATTAATACACCTTTCTGGAGTTAATCAGAAGGAAGTCAAGCCATTCTTTTAAGTAGACAACCACTTTAACCATAACTCTCAAATATCCTTTGAAATTAAAGTACAGGTGTATTCAAAGGTTTGAAGGATTTTACAGGATTGAGGATTGTCATGATTGTAGAGACAAGCCATGGAAACTGAAGGGTTCTAATACAGAGAGTGTTACACTATTGCTTCCTGCAACATGGGGGTTTTCAGAAGGATTTGGGATGCTTCTTTGCAAAAACCAATATTTGGGAGTTGGGGGACGCTTTTTAATGTTGCTAGCCTACCGCCCGTGCATGGCATCGTCTACTTAATGTACATGTACGTACCAAGGCACATTCATGGATGAATTTCTGCTCCAGGATAAGAGTCGCCGACGCCACAATGCAGTTTCTGCTCGTGTCTTCCACCACTGTGACATAGTACATACCACCTTCTTTCATCTTATTAAATCTGGCTACAGAGTGCAAAACAAAATGGAGAAGTGATGCCTGAGTTTGCACGTATTTACAGCCTACATGTGAATCATTCATGAAGTAAGTCCCCAAGTCATAGATGATGACTTGAGCTCAACTCAAGACACTTTACAATGTGGCTTTCAATGTTACTTGAGCAAACAGGATTTGTTGACGTTATAAGTTTTATATAAACCTAGATAAAATATACACAAGGTGATTTTTCCGCAATAAAGATATGCATGTGCCAAACAGTCAGTCTGCAGTGGCAGGGTTAATGAGGTTACTGCATGCGATTTAATGGCAGCGCTCTACACACAGTTTCGCTGCGAGACTTGCAAGAGGATTTTTGAGAGTTTGCTGGGTTTTTTTCCCAACTACATGTTTTAAAATGCCGTACAGCTGATAGCCAAGATGGCATGGTAAGTTTATCACTTGTTTTTTCCCAAGTATAGTGATATAAGAATCGGTGAAATTTTTTCCATATTTCTATGATATATCGTCCGCACAAGACAGGTTGTCACATCTGGGTAAAATTGGAAAGGTATTTTTAAAAGTGTGTCTTGACCCAGGCAAATAAAATCCTTGAAATTTGTCCATGTATTTTGAAAGAAGAAGATATATTTTTCAGTTAGGTTTTAACTAGGTGAGTATCCGTTTTATTTTTCAGAAACATTTTTCGTTGTGGAATTTCACACCATTTTGGGGGTTTTCGCCATATTTTGTGCGTGCGGCCATGGCAAATGCACGTGCACAAACATGATAAAGGTGCTATAACTAGTGTTTTTCATGTTTTTGATGTCTTAGGAGGGGATTTTTATGCCTTTGCCTTTTGTGCCTTTGGTCAGTTGTGGAAACGTGTTGGTTGCTTTTCCCATTCATGCCATTCATTTTGGTCTCTGATATCTCGGATCATTTTCCAATATTCACATCTTTCCCAAAGGCCGTCAATCGCACCATTCAAAGGGCAGCGTGTACTCTGAAATATACTTGAGAAAATATAGTTTATCTCAATAGTGATCTCACTTCTATTAATTGGGCAGACGTCATACCTACTTCCGATGTAAACACTGCTTTTAACAATTTTATGGATGTGTTAAATTCATCTATTGACAAGCATGTTCCCGTCTCTAGAAATAAATCCACTTCACGTAAAACAACCCCCAAATCTCCATGGATCACTATCAACCTAAGTAAACCCATTCATCATAAAAACAAGCTCTACCATAGGTATGTATCACACCGTAATGATTATAACCAAACTAAATATGTGCAATACGAAAACATTCTGACTAATGTCCTTCGAAAGGTTAAACGAAATTATTTTTCTGAGCAATTCATGCAACATAAAAATGATATCCGGACAACCTCGAAACTAATTAACAATGTAATTAATAACATACAACATTCTATAAATTGAATCAACATTGATGGCAACATTTTGGATGAGTCCCACTGTATAGCTAGTCAGTTTAATCATTATTTCACTGCGATTGGAAATACCCTTAATGATAAAATCCCACTGACAACTTCTAAGTTTTCTGATTATTTGTCAAATCCAAATTGGAATTCTATATTTCTTGCCCTGTGACTGAGCAAGAAATCATAAACATTTTTCGTAAGTTACCGAAGAAGAAAAGATTTTCTAATTACCAGTACCTTAGTTACAGAAACAATTTGTTCCATTTTCAGGCCTTTAACTCAAATAATGAGCATATTGATAACAACAGGAAAATGAAAACAGCCAAAGTTATTCCTGTTTTCACGAGTGGTAATTCTGAACAAGTTAGTAACTACACACCAATTTTGATTTTAACCACCTTTTCAAAAATTCTGAGAACATCTTATTTACAGTCGTTAAATTCTTAAATCAAAGCAATATTTTGTCTGAATGCCAGTATGGATTTCAAGAAAATTATTCCACATCTCTTGCAATCATTAAATTTATTGACAAAAATCACAACTGCTGTTGACTCTTATTAAGTAAACTTGGAATTTTCTTAGACCTTTCTATCATGGTTGATTGTGTCAAAAGCTTTCTGAGGCTTTTGACACAATCAACCACAATATTCTCTTATCCAAACTTGCTTATTTTGGAATCAGAGGTAATCCTCTGGGGTGGTTTAAAAGTAGCCTATCTTGGTCCTCTCCTGTTTTCTGTTTACATAAATGATTTTTCGTACTTCTTTGGATTTGCTTTCATTTATTATGTTTGCTGATAACCTTTTTCTTAGTCACAATGATATCAACAAGCTCGCTGATTTGGTAAATCAAGAATTACTTAAAACCTCTAAATGGTTCAAAGCAAATAAGATATCACTCAACATGGAGAAAACTACATGTATGTTATTTACTAACAAAACAGGGTTACACCTATGAAACATCTATATTGATAACATAAAAATACTTTATTCTGATTGTGTAAAATTCTTGGGTCTGTATATGCATTGTAGATCCTAAATTGTCCTGGAAACACCACATTAATCACATGTTTCTACCACTGTTTCTAGAAACATTTGCGTTGTATATAAACTCAAAGCTGTTTTTCCCCAAGAAGTCCTGTTTATGCTTTCTAATATTTTGATATTACCATATTTGAACTATGGGATCTTGGCATGGGGAAATTGTGAGACTGAATTCAAATTACAATCATGGTATTCCTCCATGGTGCATTGTACATGTAGTCATGTGTTACCCTTGAGCAAAATGGGTCAAGTCGTGCCCGGGTAAACTTGTACCCAAGTTAACTCGTACCTCCAAATTAACACCAAGTCAACTCGTACCCAAGTTAACATGTTCTCATTTTAACTTTTACCCAGTTCGTAGCTCGTACTCAAGCCAACTTGTACTCGCTACACTGTGTAAACAAGCGTCAGCAAGGAAGGATAATAAAGTTTGTGGGCCAGGATGCAGGCCAGCAGAAAGTGTGAGGACCTACACTTCCAAGTATAAAACTGCCTTCCCATGATTCATCTGATGACGACTCTTTATCTTCGTCTATTAGTGATGAGGAGTTTGTTGATGAAGTTTCGCCAACTTTACATGCTATTACAGCCAAGTGATCACGTCTCTAGTGACAGCTTCTTGGAATATGAGTCGAAAGACTTCCCGTAGGAGTAAAGTTTGGGAAAATGGTACAATTTGCAGCGGAATAATCTTTGCATGCATCTTTCGACATTACATGTTTTATAACCAACCATCAATGTGGACTGCTGCAAGCCATTTTCGAAATTAAACTGTAAAGACTTCTGTATGAATACTCATAAATAGAAATAGAACTTGGTTCTGTACTTACGTCAGAGTCTTTAATATTATTGTGCAAAATGTAAACGTTCTCAATGTGTCAGGGTAGCAAGCAAACAGAGTTTGTTTGTTCACCTGTTTATTTAGACAGTCTGTGTTTAGAGTTCTATATTTAACTTGTGTCCAAAATGATAGTGGTCTTTTGTGTACATGGAGCAGGAGCTAAGCTAAATGTCTTTGCAGCTGTACCAGTTAATTTTATACATACAGTGTATTGTATGTACTTATGTTACTTGCATGTATCAATATGGGTTACACAGAAAAGGTATTCTGAGGGGTATGCTCCTTTCACTATGCATGTACATGCCATTTCTTGCAATAGGTTTTCTTGTTCTGAAAAAGCACTGACAGTATTTTTTCATTGGTGCTGCATACACTGCATGTATCTCATTTATAGAGCAGCTGATTTGTTACAGTGTGCTACATGAAGTTTCCCTTTCAGTGTATAATTTATTTTTGTGTGTCCTTATTTAACCAGTCTTGTCCTATTTGGTTTTAAATGGCTAATTAATCTTGCATGTTTTATATAGGTGTTTTGATTAATTTGACTTAAATTTTGTAGATTTTTAGACTGTAAATGGATAAACTGATGTAATTTACAATATATGAATTGTAAAGATGTCGCAATTCATTTTTTTTTTACTGCCATGACATCTTTTGTCAATAAACCATAAACCAACTATTTATATGATTTTCAACTTTTAACAACTTGCATGTAATTTCCTTTTTCCGAGCAGAAATAAAACTCATTTGAAAAGCTAAGCCAGCTTGTCTCTTGTGTTTCATACATGGTTGTTGATTTTGTTTCTTGGTATTGGGCAAACACACCAACTTGCAAGAATGCCTTTTTTAAACTGTACTTGTTTTGAAAAGAAACTTACTTATGCACCAAAATATACTTGGAATTCTATCTGAAAAGGAAGTATCTCTTCTTGGAAAAAAAAAGTGTTATTATAATGGGCACTTCAATTTTGGACTGCGGTTGCAGTTCGTTGACATGTACATGTACATCCGGGAATTTTGACAGTAGTGGCTCTGGCCAATCAATGTGCAGAAAGATTTCCATTCAACATGGAGGCAGAATCACCTCCCTGTTCCTGTAGATAAGCTGAGAGATCAATGTGCCATGACACAGGCAAACCGTAAGCTGTCACCAAATTAACTGATTTTGGAAGAGTGAGACCTGGTTTTTCAATTTTATGGGGAATTTTGATGTGGTCGCACAGAAAAAAGTGCTATTTCGAGTAAGTTTTGTAATGCAAATTTAGTCATTTTGCAGACGTATATTCGTTATCTTCTTACACTAAAAACCTCCAAATTGTTTCCAGATGGCCCCTGAAAGTAATGAATAGTTATCTGTCCATCGCAAACACATTATTTTGGCATAAAACTCAACAAAAATAGGTTAAAAAACAGAATTCTAGATGCGGTCAGTCACAAATTTCATTTCTAGCACCTACTGCATGGAAAACTGTGCATACACAGCAAGCAAAATGAACGGCTTTTGCGTGCACTGCGGACTGACTGCAAACCATCACATGTAAAAGCTACGCTGTGCAATGAACTTTGCCAACACTTCCTGAAAGGTCAGGTTTTTATATGTACAGCTACAAGTATATGTACATGTGAGTATATCGTAAAACCTTCAGTAAGGTTTGAAGTATCACAGGTTTAAGTCACTGCTCTGGATCAGCCTAGGTAAACAGCTTTCTTCATTTTGTCAGTACTTCTAGTGCAGACATTACAAACTTTATGGTTATAATGAAAGTACATAAAGGAACATGTACCTTGCAAATGGTGACTCATTTCAGCTTTTAAAAAGTGGATTTCTGCCAAGATTTGTGAAAACTGGCTTGCAAAGTGATACTTTTGAAAAGTCAATGTAACGATGCAATAAATGCGACAATTTCATCGCTCTGATCCTAGAAGTACTTGAACGATCTTCTCTAGAATCAAGGAGTTCAGTACTTAAGAAATGACCTGAATTAAAAGGGGACGTTTTGAGGGACTCACCCAAATATTTGTCCAGGGTTACCTCTCCGACAACGGTGAGCTCGCTGAGAAGCTGCATATATCCTGAATACATGCCACGAATATGAAAACAAAATATTTTTAAAACATACAAAGTTCACAACTTGACAAATGGAATAATTTACATGTAGTCGTGTCTAATGTAGAGCGAAAAAAGCAGAAAAAAGAACAAAACACAAAGACTATCGATGTGTGGAGTCCAGATATCATTACTTGACAAGGGCTACATTTCCTGGTAGCAGCATGAAGTTTATTACCATTACCTTTGGACACATTCGGGGACTGAGCTACATGCACATGTACATATGTAAATTATCCCAACACAGTCCAATAACTGCCAATGTACCATGGCCTCCTGAATCAAGCTGAAAACGGCAGCTGAAAAAGAAACGTGTTGTTCTCAACACCTACATTCGCAGTGACGTGAGAACTGGTTCATACATGTATGTGTACATGCAGTTCCTGATGAACATGTATTTCAAATGAATAAACAAACAGCACTTCTTATACATGTCGAAGTATCTCATAATCAAAACAGCAAAACATCATAAACTCGGAACGCTGCCATTAAGACTCTTGACAAGGCTGAACACAGAGCAAAATGAAGATAAAGATGAACAAAATGGTACGTGTAGATGTACGGTACACATGAAATCGGAACAAAAAAAGTCACTGCCTGCCAGAAACATACTGTACCTCTTTCAAAATCACCTGTGCTCAATGGTCTCAGGACCAGTGAATCTCCCGGGTTTGATGGTGATGCAGATGAGTGGAATTTAACCTTTGACCGTCCCTCAAAGTCTATTCCCGTTAATAAACTTTTGTCGTACATCAGGATGTCTTCCATTCCATTCTGAGTGAAGAGGACAAACAGAGAATGAGAGGGTTTGTGCTCCTTGGGAGAGGCAGAGTGATGAGCAGGGTAGTTCTTTGGGTAGATACTGTTGTATTACCATCATGATCAAAGGGGTAGATTTGGGGGAGGGGTCAGCCCTACCCTCCCTCCCAATAAAACCCCAAAACTTTTTAGTGTGTGAAAAATGAATGGCAAATTACATTTAATAGGCCCTATATACTGTATCTCCCTTCTGTCAAAAGGCATGTTATCATGAAATTTGCAACTTGTGTCAGTTATCTCCATTTTTTATGAGGCAATCTTCCACTGTCAAGAATAGAAAGGAAAAGCAATTCGGTTTTGGCAGAATTATCAGCCATGTCGGAAACCTGTGATAACTTTTAAATAAGATCAATACACAAACATGACAAAGACTGAGTGATTGCCCACTTCCACCTATCGCATCAAATCGACAATGTATGCATGTGGGCTAGTACTAGTAGACTACATGTACATGGCCTGTGCTGTTTTTGCTTATTCCCAGAACTGTGGGGTCCGACGTCCACCCCGCTCCCACGGGAGGGGGCGGACGACCTAGGGCCATGCATGGCAAACCATTGACATCCTCAGCAATCTCATGGAAGTAGAAACAGACACAAGTATGACAGGCATACCTCCATTTCCTTTGAAACCCAATGTAAAGTTACTTCTAGAATGAGAAATAAGTGTTTTTTCAGAGATGTTCACGACGTTAACACTGCACTGTCACAGCAGGACAGATCCAGCAACGACGTCTATCTTGCGTCCCGTCAAAATCTACAACTGGTGAATTTGACACGTGTAAAGTCTTGAGTCCCTCTTATCAATGGGGCAGAACCGTATCAAACGAAGAGAAACCAGACTCAAAGGCTTAGGATGTAGGCTCCCAAACGCCTACGATTGATTTGTAAACAAGGTGTGAAAATACATTGGGGGAGCCTGACTAAACAAAATGGCTGCGCCCATGGAGTAATGTGTGCCATTGCGTTTTGTGGAAGCGAATGAGTTCTTGCTGGACCACATTTTTCACTTTCGTTGGTAACTTTTCATTAAATATTTGCATACCATACACACTTAAGATTATGTTCAATGAAAGTGGATCGCTGAAATATCAAACAATTGAACGAGCGGCCGGCCAGAGCTAGCTAGTAGCTGCAGAGGCGCAGAAACTGGAGCTAGGGTAGGCATGGTAGGCGTGGCTGCGCCTATTAAAGTAGTGCCTGTTCAATTTGAGCTTCACTAACGTTGGTAAACAGTTTCATACAGGTGGTCTGCAAGAAAATGCATGAATGTTTGCTGCTGTGCTTTCAACTTTTGTCATGTTTGTGCCTACAGTATGGTCATATGGTGTATCCAGCCAGGTTAACATACATGCTTTTATTTTTAACATGATACTGTACATGTTCAATTTCAGTAGAGGGGCCTAACTTTTACCCACAGTTTTATAACTATCGCAAGGCTCTAGTTAGACATGCTAGATAGTCATGATAGTCTGATAGTACTTAGTACTATAGTAGGTGTAACAAAAACAATTGCATTGATAGTGATTGTACATGTCTTAATGTTTTATTTGGCAAGAGTTCCTGTCCGTCATGTCCAGCAGTAGAGTTGCACATCAGAACTCAGAGACTGTCCTTCAACTCAGAAAAATCCCTCTCTTTGGAGACAAAAATCAGTGTCCTAAAAGGGGACTTTTTTTTCAGAGTGGCTTGATTTAAAACACATTATTGTCAAATTTTTGAAATTTTTCCACCATACTTTCCATTCCTATACATGTAGGTTAATTAAGTTGTTTTTACCATGTCACTCAATTAACTGTATGTAGAGGATTAATATCTGAAAAAAATTGTTTTGATGTGGTCTTTTTATGTCCCATTGCACACTCCTGTTTGTAATCCAGGCAGTAAACGGTGGAATTTTTTTTAACAGCAGCCTAGCGTGTTTCTTCTGCTGAACCCAATTGTGGCAAAAAGGATCCCAAAGCAAAAGTAGGATCCCCAATCCCACTTGAAAGAATAATTCCCTGTTAGGGAGATGTTTCTTTCTTTCTGGGGCTGCTTTTGTTCCCCTCTCCCCCAGCAAGGGACTTCTCTGAGTTTGAGGACAGTCTCCAAGTTGTGATGTGCACCCCTACTGTCAAGCCAAACATGTATTCACTACCAAACATCACGTATTCAACCTCACCTTGTATTTTCAGTTCAAGAGCACAATCCTGAAAGCAATGGAATACCCAACCATTAGTAGGCTGGGCACTGTGATGCTGCTGAGGCAGTAGCAAGACAAATCCATAGATATGCTTATATGATTAAATGATGTTTTCTTGTTTATAATTCAGTAGCCATGAATGGTCAATCAGCCAGGATTCTGGAAGCAGCGTCAGGACTGCTGAGCAATGCTGCCAGGGTACCCAATTCAGTCAAAACACTGACCTTCAAAACCTTCAAATGTTCTACTTGTTTATGTGACCAGGGTCCATGTATTTATCCGCACATCAAAAACCCAATCTGGTGGACTCAAGCAAAGAGTGTTACAGCTCTGGCAGTCAGTACCCATACATGGTTAAGCACAGTTCATGGACTTCGTCATCCAAAATTGTACAGCACAAGCAGTCCTCAGAAAGCCGATGATGAACAAGGGGCGAAAGATGATATGCTGTCTTCGGGAGAGTCGCCCGTCAAAGCAAACTTGGCTGAAAATGAGGCAGCTTGTGGAAAGAAAAGGAAAGGGAAGATGAATCGGTATGTGAAGAGAGCCTCCAAAGCAACAGAGAAAATGAAAGAAAAAATGGCTGACAAAGTCAAAGATATAGTAAGTACGTATATTGTAGGGTTCAGATTGAACCAATGAGCAAAGGTTAACCTTCATTTTTGTAAAAGAAATTGTGTCAACAAAGACATAAGAGCCAGCAGATGTACAATATTTTTTATGCTGAGTTAATTTCAGAGAAAATGAAAGAAAAACGGGTTAACAATGAAAAAGTGTAACTTGGACGCCACCTCATTTGTGTCACGTTTGGGCAAAGATCAGTTTTTGGGGCACTGTGTTCCTTTAAATAAACAACTTACAAATTTAGAAACAATTCATGCAGGAAACTTAAGAACATGTAATCTTGGAGTCACGTGGCTTGTGCATAAAGTGCTCACTTCTCACCAACTTTGATCCTGGGTTCAGTTTCCTGGCTAGATGGTGCACGAATAGAGTTGTTTCTTGACTGTCTTGTTCCACAAGGGTTTTTTCAGGGTTTTCCTCCCTGTGCAAAGTAGCAGCTCATTCACTCTCTGTCTGTGCTCTGTGGACAGACATGGGTCATTTGGCAGGTGCATTTAGGTGCCTTCCACTCAATCACATTGTAGCTGCATCATGTCGTCCATCTTTTAGCCTTGTGGCTCTAAGTAAGGATGATTAGCCCCCTGGTAAAATGAATAAAACATATGCCTGGAACACGTAGGTTAGATATACTGTAAATGTTGTCTTAAAATTTTGGTAGATTTCGTAGAATGAGTTCACATTAAATGTGTTGGGAAACCAGTTTCTCTTGTATTTATCTCCTTCCAGAAAGAGAACATATTTACCATCCCCAATCTCTTGTCCACAACACGCCTGGTCATGTCCCCTGTTCTGGGCTACCTGGTCATTCAGGAGTGCTACACGCTGGGTACTTGCTTGTTTGTCATGGCTGGGATCACAGACTTGGTAGGATCAGTCAACTGAACACAAATGCTATTTATGTTTCATGTACGTATAGTTCACTGACTAACCATTGTGTATGTGCTTTGCATAGAAAAGTATGCACCCACAGTGCTAAGGGGAAGTCAGTGTACAATGTAAACAAAATGCTCTGTGCCACATTTCAAACCTATTATGCAAACGAGGAGAGTTAAATGTCTTGTTTTAAATCTAATGAGGACTTGTCACCCTTCTCCAATTCAGAGAAAAGCAAACATGAAGGCCTCTTTAATGAAATGACAACACTTCAAAAAGTCGTGGGAAGGATATATCCTACCAGTAACCTTTCTCGCACTAAAGAGACAGCAGTGATG